TTCATGTCCAAGTGTTTTTTAAGTCTGCATGACTAGGAAACAATCTCATGTGTATGGTTTGTCTGGCCTGTTACTAAGAAGCCTGTGCACCTGCATTTCCCCTACCGCCTGCGTTTTCTTTCCATCCCATTTATTCAAAGGGGCCAAATGTTCATTAACTGCTGGTGAGTTAAGAGTGCCAATAATCCCTTTTTCTCTCCCAGTGTAGTCAGCCGTCCGCACACCTCAAGCAGTCCCTGGTTAACTGGGACAACTGCAGCCCTCAGCCAGCCGCAGGAGCATCCCACTCCCTCGCCAGCAGCTATTCAATCCTGTAGGATCACACAAGCCTACCAAGACCAGGCTGGGCTTAGCAAGTCCACGGGCAGCGTATGGGCCTGTTCTCCCTCACCCACAGCCCCGGGAGCTGAGTGTCCCTGCAGAAGTTTAGTTGAGTTCCCCACGGCACTGCCTGAGCCACCTGCCAGGTTTTGCCCCCACCAGCTTCCCGGGCTGATCAACAGGTGCCTGACACACCATGAGCACACAGATCGCAGCGACCTCGTCCAGCGGGCTCAGAGGTCAAGGTTTAACTCATCTGTGTCCTGACATGAACTGCAGGAAGACCATACTCCTGGTCTCTTCTTCCTCCTGTTCTGGCTTTATTTTTTACTATTTTTTGGGGGGTGTGTGTGTGTAGTTTTTTAAATCCAGTTAGCAAGTTCAGAATACTTTTTATGTTAATATTTGACTCGGGTTTAATGTAGTTAGGCCCTGTAGCAGTTGTTACCTGCATCCCACAGAAAGAACAGAATCTCCCCAGACTATGAGCCTTGGTGGTATTGATTCCTGCTCTGCTATGGGGATGCCAGCGAAAAATAAATAATGCTGTCGTTAAAAGCTGTGGTATTTTCTAAGTCATAGATCTAAAGGCACCCTACTTTCTTTGCTTTGCATACTGGCAGAGCACCATCCTTTCTGCTTTTCAGATATGAAAGCCGAAGCAGAGAGACATCTGATGAGGCTTCATCGCTGACTCACTGTTTGATGTTAGGCAGAAGGAGGAATGTGATCAGATCCCATTGTGCAAAGCCTCCACCAGACAGCTCTGTCACTTGGGAGGAGAAGCAACTCCTGCCCCTGAGCCGGATGGGCTGGCAGCACAGCTCTCCTGCCCACAGCTGCCCACCGGCTGGCTCCAAACGGGGCGAATAACCCCCCGCTGTCCCCCACAGAGACCGTGCAGCCTGGGCACAGCAGCAGGGACATCCATCACCTTTGAAATGGCTCCTACGCCGTGCACGGACAGAGGTTCAGGGCTCTGCTCGTGCTCACAGAGTCGGGGCGGGAGAGGCCGCAGCCCGGTGTGTGCACGCCTGGAGCTCTTTCTCACGAGATGGTGCAACCAGCCAGCGGGGAACTGGTTAAGCAGTGGCCTGGGTTTGGCTGTCGGTGTAAGGCAGGGCAGGATGTCACCGGGAAGCCAGCATGTTTTATTAAACAGAGTATCAAAGTGGGCTAAAGTCTCTTATTATGAATTGTAATGTCCACAAATTTTGCCACTTCCAAATAGTTTCCACCTACAGATTCCTCCCACTGCTACGCCGGGTGCTGGCAAACATCTCTGCTCAAAGAAGGGAATGGCTTTCATTTGAACAGTCCTCGGGCGAGTTTCGCCGAGTGAGCGGTGCCAGCGTCATACCCACAGCTCTCACGTGCCCAGCAGCAATCCAGGGCAGCGCCGGAGGGCGGGCCTGCTGCTCGCCCGGGACTCCACAGACACAGCAGCTCTCGGTAGGTTTTCCCAGTGTTTTATCCAAACAAGTCCATGGTAGCCTAAACCAGTGTAATTAAGCAGTGGTGGATGCATGTACTCGCAATATTAAATCTCGACTTATTCTAATGTGCGGACGATTCATCGCGGCGGCGCGTGTGGCCAGCTGTGCGACTGAGATAGTGAGTCACACACGCACGCAGCTGAAACTACCAGACTTCGCACTTAATTCAAGCTTTTGCAACTACCTGCAGACTACCAGAAGGACAAGGCAGAGCCCTGGTGGGTGTCGAACTGCTCCTTAGCTCCTCGGCTGTGAAGTCCCCTTTTGGGACCCTGCCCTCAGCTGACGGGGGCAGGCTCTCCTACGCTACCGGGAGGGGGGAAACCAGACCTGCAGCTCCCCCGGGAGCTGCTGATCCTGAGCACTCCTGCCTCGGTACATCCCACACTGACCGCAGCAGCACCGTAGACCTCAGGCTGCAGTGAGGTGGTGGGTGCTCGACGGAGGCACCGTCCCCGTAGCCAGCTGCACCCGGCTGCCCACCGAGTCCTTTCACGTCCAGCCCAGTGCCACAGCTAGAGATCTGCCTCTTTCAGAAGAAAAGCCAGCACGTTTACTGAGCACAAGCATGCACCCTGCTCCCCAGCTCTCTTGGAGACAGCTGGGCTCTCACGGAAACTTTTCCTTCTGCAAAAAGTAATGGGTATTAATTATTGAGGCCTTGAGGCCGTCCATCAGGTGCCGAGGGCTGACCGCATCCGCGCAGCACCTCCCGCACGGCGTAACCTCGGCGTCCAGCCTGGGCTGCTGGGCCAAGACGTGGCTGTTCTTTCACCTCCGGTGCCAGTAACCTGAAACGAGATTGCTGGAAATGAGACAGAGGGAGAGTCAGCGATTTGATTACAGGCCACAGGCACATGCCTGGCCTTCATGGATATATTAAGTAAGAGACATTTTAAAACAAAACCACCCTCAGTAACCTTATCGTAAGCTCGAATCCACAACCCATCTGTTAACTCCCGGCGCTGCCCACATAGGCTCCGATCAGACGTCGGCGCCAGGGATTTTCAGCACATTTCCCCCCAAATTTCTGTGGGTCGGAAGGGGACGGTCCTGGGGAAGCAGCAGGTCCTGGGACTTGGCCCCCCCCGCCCGCCTTCAGCACACCTTCCAACCGACTGCCAGACGCTTGCCTTTTACCACGCCTGTAAATAACTGCAAATCCCCCTTGGACGCGAGCTGCCGCTGTCCTGTGACTCTCAGCCCTTCTGAAACCAGCGCTCGGGAGACCTGCTGCTCGACGAAGGGCTTTAGAAAATTAAGCCTTGTTAAACATTTCGTTACTGCCTTAATCGTACGTTGTAAAGGAACCCTCCGTGTAGAAACAATTCGGCAAACAAAATCGAGAAGGCAAATTGATGATTGCATCAGCCTTAGCTTATGAAAACTGATCTCCAGGAAAATGTAATTTGACTCTCCAGCAATCTAACTTGATGCCCAAGAATGTAATAACTTCATTTGGATCCTCTTTTTAGGGGGACTCCTAAATCCTTGGCAACGTCCCTTAAGGTCATGAGTAAATCCTGATATGGAGAATTGTTTGGCAAGCACGAGAACAGTAAAAGGGCTAAATAATTGGGGATTACCTCTGACCCTGATTTGTAGCTCACCACCCACTGCAGGAATGTACCGAATAGCTGAAAGAGCGTGCACGAGTCAGAGAATTCATGGGCATGAAACTGTCCACGTACACTTGGGGTCTGAACTTAAAATGTAGAGCAGGTTGTCCCCAAACCTCATTTTTCATTAGCAATCAGCTGCAGCAAGCTCTAATTATTTCTGTTGCCTTGGACAGGGGGTCAGTGATGGGGCAGATTAAAACTTTTTTTTTTTTTTTTTTTTTTTTTTTTTTTTCACCCTTTGTTTGGAAAACAGCAGCTTGGGGCTTCAGGGCAGAGAAGGAACCACCTGATTCCGTACCCGTTATTTACGCTGGTTACTTTCCCCTGAACTGCAGGAAGGGACAAACACATCACTTCCATTTTGTCTGATGGTTACTGCTGGATTTGTTCAGTGCCTGTAAGGAAGACAGCCTCCGTTTTACAAAGCCCCCAGGGAGCTGTGATCCTGCCCTCAATTCCACTCTGTGAGCTCCCTCTCCTCGTCAGGGAGATGGATCTGCAGCATCCCAGCGGATCCTCGAGCTTGGTGATCAGATCACAGTCGTAGACATCAGGTTTGCAGGCTCGGACACAAAATTTGTTTGGAAAAGGGCAGCTTGGGTCTTCAGGGCAGAGAGGGAATGAACCGTACTGAGCTGGCCAACCCAAGCATCTGCTTCTGGGGAGCTCCCCGGCACTAGTACAGCGCTGCGTTGTTTATGCTGGAGACGCAGCTGGGATCCGATAAAAGGGTTTGGGGGTTTTATAACCCTGACTTTTACAGCTAGCAGATTTCAGCCAGGCTCTGGCTTCCCTCGGGATTCCTCCCGGTAACAACACGCACCTTCCGCTGGCAGTGAGCCTTAAAAGGCCCGTCTCCATCGCCCCTATAAAATCGCTTTGTGCTCTCACGTCACACCGCCTGACCTCAGATTCCTCCCGCCGCGGAGCGGGCCAGGACTCTCGCGGAGGCTCTGTGCTGGAGTCCTGCTGTTACCCTGTCTCGGGAAAGGCGCTTTTTATCTGATGAGCCTGCCTCTACTCGTTCGGCAGTCGCAGGGAAAATGACCCAAGCCCTTCACGGGAAGAGCTTTCGCTCCGCGGGTAACGCACCCCCGTGCCCTCGCCTTCCGCGCCCGGGCGCTGCAGATGCTTTGCGAAACCGCGACACGTCCTCAAACTCCGCGATCCCGGCGTTCGCCTGGAGCCGGTCGTTATCCCCCCCCCCGCGCTTCTAAAGTTTGGAGGGGGCAGACTGAACCCGGGTTTCTGGCTATGCCAACGGGGCTCTGGGGGCGGGTT